ATACATATATATATATATATATATATATATATATATATATTGTTTTAGACCCTTAAGATCCGATATCTTTGATAAATGAAATATTAAGACTAATATCCTAATGAGTAAAAAGTATTGATTAAAACCCAAATGAGTAAAAATCATAAATCAATAATTTCTGAATCAATTAATTGAAATCAAAATTTAAGAAAAAAAATAAGAATTTATATCCAAATAAGCAAAACTATATATGGATTAGAAACCAAACCTGTAAATACTTTTGAGATTAAATTCTTAAATATTCAAACCAAAAGAGGGGGGCAATGAGGTGCTAATTACCGGAGTAGTTCCATTTTCATTAGTTTCCAGCCTGTACTCATGCATGATCCAATCAGACTTCTGTCCATTTGGGGCTCGACCTTTGTAAAACACCAGAGTCTTTCTCATGCCAATCAGGCAATGCTTAGAGTATATTGCCTTGTCTCTTCCCGTGGCTTTCCAGAATCCTGCTTTTGTAGCTCTATTGGTGCGAGTTCCAGTTGGATATTTCTTATCTTTATGACTGAAGAAATACCAGTCACTTTGTTCATCGGTTCCTATTTTGCATAATTCTGTTTACACGAGTAATAAATGTGAGTGTATATACTATATATACAATGATACATGTACCTTTGTATATGTAATGCTTTGATTAATTAAAGCTTTGTAAAAATTACCTTGGAGATCCCATGGTTCAATTTTATAGAGATCCACATCTTTGATGACATCTAGATCAATTCTTTTAGACGCTACCTTTTTCCTAAGGTAGTAACCAACTAGCTCTTCATCGGTCGGGTGAAACCGAAAGCCCGGAGGTACATGTGAAAATGTGTTCATATCTGCTCTCAAAGAATTAAAACCTGTATTTGGAAAAAGAACAAAAATTAGCACCTGTATTGTAAACATAAAGTTTTATTATTTTTTTCTCGCATTTATAACGAAAATATTGCTACCACTTATATTTAAACATTCATAATTGACCACTCCAGAAATGATAATTAATATGTCACAAGTTATATATGCACGTGCTTTAAATTTTAAAATAATACAACAATGTAATGCCAGGTGGCAATATGATACATTGATCGTTTGATCGAGTACATGACCAAAGAATAAGAACTTAATATGATCTAAACTCGTCACTTCTAACATATCCTCCTGAGAAAACACTTGATACGCTTTGTAATCAGGAAAAAGGGAACATTGAACACTGATAGAGCTGAACTGAATGAAGGCTCAAGATAGTATTAGAAGTTTAAATAATAATATAATAAAAAAAATGATTTAAATATTACAAAATAAAAAGTCGAAAAGCAAAGCAAATGAAGAATAGTAATTCATGTCTTAGACACTACGTAAAAAACAGTTGCTTTGTTTCAATGTGTAGCTAATGAACGTTCTACATAAAGCAACAAGATTTATAAGGAAACAATTATGCTGCACCCATAATCAATAAAGAGGCTACTCAGACTCATGCATGATTCAACTAACAGCAACGTGTCGAAGATTGAGTTGCAGATAAGTCAGTTTATTACCAAGCAAAAAAGAAAATCTTGGTAATTATAGAACACGTCCCTTGTTTTGAAAGAAAGGGCGAAAAGAAAACGAATGATACAAAGTGGATATGAATTGATTCGAAATTTTGTACCGGAAAACATACATGTTAATTAAATTCTTCCACTACTGAAATATATGTTGTGGAATATGCATCTAACTATCTATTTGACAACATTATAGTCTCCTTATGGTATCATAAAAGCAAAAGATTATCTAAAACGTGTTTTGAATTAACAAAATAATTGATGACAAAAGACCACATCTTGTCCTCCAATTATTTGTACATACATTCAAGTTGGAACTTTTGCAACTAGACACATGTGATTATCCGGTATGAAGGACTGAATCAGCTATTGATCTCTTCATTTATACTCTGAGAATAAAAACCGCTGGTAAGCATTCCTAGTCTTAAACCCAACAAATCTGCCCCAAAACAACTTAATTAAATAACCATGTCATTAGAATTTTCAAAATATACATGAACTTTCTCGTCTATCCCCTCAGCTCACATTTTCAACATTGAATGTAATATTTCCTCCAGCTGGGTTTGATTAATTAGATCCAATGAATCGCCAAAGAAGTCGAAGAAATACAAGAAGAATGAAGTGAAAAAGAAACAATACTAAGTATGAAGAAGATATTTTCCAAACACTATACGTATATCAAATTCAAGTTATATAATTGAATAAAAAAGATATATAAAAACGTAAAAAAAATATAAAAATATATGATCGATTGTCTGAGACTCTGAGTAATCTCTTCACAGAAAAACCATACTAGATATTCCAAAACTTTACCTTGTGAAACGTTGACTCATTTTCCTTAAAGAAGAAAAACAAAATTAGTCTGTGACACACGGCATAGAAGACACACTTTTTACAATGCAATTATGGGGTGGTATGAAGTAGTGAATGATGTTGTATGCTATAGCACCAAACATTAAGCTTTCCAGCCTACAAAGAGCTTGATAGAGCACTCAAAGGAAGTCACATTTACATAATGGCGAAATAGCACGACTTAGAAGCTCCTTCTTCAAGCGATTTGGGGGGAAAAAACATCATCAATTACCAGAAACAGTGGTCTGTCCAGGTTGCACTTGGATATATATGAAAATAAATTTGTATTATTAGGTGTAAAACCAAAAAGAGGACCAGCGTGAGGGGGTTAAAGGCTTAAAGCATGATTTGGAGGTTGGTGTGGATGACATTCAAACACCAACCGAACACAGATCACAGTCTTGTCAAAGATTTTATGACTTTTACCATTTGACTTCGGCTTCTCCTTTATTTGTCTTTTCTTGTCGTGCTTTGTTTCTTAAAACATAGAATATATAAATTGATCCACCATTTCAACACTGCTGATCATTTAGAACATTCACGTGATAAATATATACTAAAGAACATGAACTAAGATTAAGAAGAAAGAAGCCAAACTCCATGTGATATAGCAGATCGATGTGGATAAATATGTAAAGCACTAAATAAAGAACATGTTAAACAACTAAGGGCAAAAGAACAACCTTGATATATTGCTCTCCCCAAGGATGTAACTAGTAGAATTCCGGTGCGGATCTGATGAAACCAAAAACTTCGTTCACAGCACTAAATCCTCAGTTATACAAGGTTGATGAGAAACTAGTTTAAGCTATCTTTCGTGAACAACCTTTTTGTAGCAAGTTGGTCAAATGAAATCCAAGAGAACCAGACAAAAAAACAGCACTGAAAGAAAGGCAAGGAGACACAAGCGGACAAAAAAGACAAGAAAAGAAAAGTGGAAAGTTAACTGTTTTCCTCGGGAATTGAACTGAATCTCCTCCTTCCTTGTCCTCAAACCTCTTTGCTTTCAGCAACTGCGTCAAGTAGTAGTTGCTATTCGCAAGAAGAGAGAGAGAGATCAGATCCCGAGGATTATTGAGAAAGAGAAGAGAGAAAAGAGAAGGAAAAAGAGAGGTTTCAGGGTTTCAGGAGGAGCAGTGGATGAAACGAAGCAAATATGAGAACCCTAATAAAGCATTCATCCCTCTCTCTCTCTCTCTTTATTTGGTTGGAGCTAGATTGCTGTAAGCTGAGTGATAAAAGGGTGGCGCTAAAACGGCTTGAGAATGAGAATGAGAGAGAAAGAGAAAGAGATGTCAACCTCTAAGTCCACCCACCAGCAACTGATAGAGACCTAAAAGCAATGATGTGGTGTTAACGTTTGAGGTAGCCGGGGCCGAAGAACAGAGAACGCAACATAGATCAAACCGTGAGAACGAATCGAATGGGGTTCTTTAAAATATACATATACAAATAATGAAATATATGAATCAACAAAAATTATGATAATGATAGGCAATCGATTAAGGATTTCATTTTGCTTTGTTTAAGTGGTGACCCTTAATGGTTATAACTTATAACATCTCCCTCCCGCCAAAAGTTACACAATCCCCTTAATTATGCCCAAAAAAAAAATAATCTTTACACTGATGAGGATATTCCAATTCGTTTGCTAGTTGAGTCCACCCCGCGTGGTGTACACGATCAGATTTAGAAAAAAAAAGTTTAGTGTTTTGTATATATAGGAATACAGGAATATAGGGTTTCTTCAGTTGTTCAAAATGTGTCACATGCCTTCTCCTAATAGAATTAACTAATTGTATAATATAATCGTTTATTAGCAACAACAATTTGATCATGAATAGTAAAAGAGAAGGTTGATCGATTGAATGATCAAAAGGTGAGCTAAACTTCCAGTACACTCATTGGGATAATCAATTAAAGTTAATTTATCCAAATACGTTGATAAAAGAAATCACTATTTTCCCCGGTGGGTGTTTCAGCTATAATTGTACCTAGTTAATAAACACATTCTAGCATTAGCAAATTGTTAATGAAAACACTCGAGTTCCTTGTACTCCATGTAGTTAATTGTTTCACCTTTTCAGAAGAAGAAAAAAAAAACATTCTAGTATAGAAATTAAGCACAATGCGGTTGTTTAATTTGATGTGGTCTGACCATTTTCAACATTTAATATCCTGAAATTGTTTTTGCTTATATAAACAGAGGTTTATGTGTTCCCAATATGAACATCCATGATCCATTGATTTTGTTAGTTATTTATCTTTATAAAAATATCTTGGGTTTTTGTTAAGTGTTGCGTAAAGTTAGTTGGTCCACATCTTGCTAGCTCCCTCTCCTGCTGTGTGAAAATGAGGTGTTGAACGAAGCAGTGTTGCAGTTGCTGGTGTGGTGCTCTTCAAAAAGTGCAAATAAATTAGTAACACACAAGTGCTGCATCATTTTAAGGTTTCGGAAAATAATAATAATTCTTTTTCAGTTGCAGCAACAGCACGCGAGCCCTGGTTGGTTGGTCCGCAATATTCTTTTTTATTTTTTAAATCTGTCTGCAGTGTATAATTCTTTTTCCTTTTCTACACTATATTATTAAATAAATAAAATCTGTTGCTAAAGCTTCCTCAATCTGGGCCCACCAACCGACCGTAGGCAATACGATAGCGACACCTCTCCAAATACACCTTCTGGTATAAAGATAATATTAAAAAATCACATTCTTATTTATCAATTCATTGGCAATGGACGAGTCTGCTAAGCCTCTCAGCTCATGTTACCAAGCCGAACTCGGCTTCAGCATTGTCTTAAGTTCATTACCATTGCTACTGGCTCCGAATCCGTTATTTGGTTTGGCGCATTTGAGACTTTATTTTAATTATTCTAAAAATCATAACAAAATATTAAAAACAACTATCTTTCTTTTTTGTTGCCCTACCATCTTTGTGTCAATATTCAGAAACTAATCTATCATATATAAATTGTTTTTTAAGGGATAAACTTCATCCAAATTTAAGATTTGTTGCCCTAATATCTTTATCAAAAGGATAAAAGTTAATACACTTATAATTTATCTTAAATTGTGATTAAATGATCATGTAAAGATTCATTTAAGAGATTAATTCTATTTTTATTAAAGAAAATGATTATTTTTAACAAACATTCTTTTATACACATAGATAAGGAGGTTGAATTACTGAATAATAAAGAGTGTAGTTATTTGTCAACTGTATTACTTCAAGTTGGTTTCATCTTTTTTTTAAAAATGCATATTTAGTATTTTCCCAATTTTTTTAAGTAATACTTTAAACAAAACAAAATATAGTTATTGTTTTGAAATTTTAAGCCTCGTGTTCGTGTCATTAGAGGCCGTCACGTGATAGCGATTATAAAAATCTTTAGTCGTATATAATTAGTGAAAGTATGATAAATTAAACAATGTGATGTAACAAAATGAGAGAATAGAAAAAGGTAAACAAAAGTATTACTGAAATGTATAAATACTACTGTGGAAAGATAAATAAAAGGTTCTACTAAAAATAAAGCACGTGCACTGTACATAAGCCGTTGAATTAGTCGTGAAGTTTCTAAGAGCATTATAAGATTTTAGGGGTGTGGCAACACCAATGTTAGAAACATTGAACCATAAAAAGAATGACACGTGTTGCAAAGTGTTTGGTGGTTGTGCATGCCGGTACGTTAAGCCATGGAACTCCGGCTAAAGATCGAGAAAAGCGGGGGAGGGCAAAAGAAAAGGGTATGATAAAAGCTAAAGTAAGAGAGTTTACAGTGCACAATGGTTTGTCTGTAAGTTGAAACTAGCAAAGAAGTGAAGCAAAAGTCTCAGACGTTATCCAAGTGTCATCCTGTCCCCACCATGCCTACGCGCTACAACCTTAGCTTCCTTCAACCCATTATTTTAATTACTATGTACCCTTGTTTTCATAAAAACGATAACAATTTCATATAAAATAAACTAGGTTCATGAAACCACAAACATGCATCAAAATTAATCAAATTAATCATCCTTTTTTTCTAAAAGTAGTTCTGCTAAAAGCCTATATGAAAAAGGTTTACTTAGACATTGTATATTCTTTATTATCAGAAGTTCAGCGGTAGTTTTGGACATTTCAAAACATAAGATAAAACTTTGTTTCTTCTCAAGCGGTATTAGCCCGAAAGTAATGGGGTGAGCAAGTGGAAGACACCAGAGGTAAAGAGTGGGGGTCATAGATAATGATTGCTGATATAGACACATAATTGTTTTGGTTCCCCACGTTCAAGTGAGGATGGGCAACTCCTCAAAAAGCGTTCTATAAAAATTCAAAAAAAGCTCTCGATATCCCTTTGCAACATATGACTATATTTATCTGCTCCTGCCATCTTACTCCAACATTCTCTGGCTTATCCTATACACTCTATGTTATCAATTAACTTTTTTCCTCATGATTTTTCACACCTTTTTTATGTTTATTTTATTTTTGAATCGAACCATGTGTTTAGCACAATTTAAAAATTTAGAGAAACAATTATTTATTTTTAATTTTTAAAAATTTACAAAATAAATAAATAAAACTATATTTTATAAGTTAACTTCATTAAACCAAACGTAGTATGCGTATAATGTATCATCGAATGTTTTATTATTACTTTACTTGTTAATCTATTTTATGAGCGTAAATGAGTAATTAAGTCGAGTATAAACTCCAAAGGAATGTGATTATGTGAGAGTACGTCATTATCCTTTTCTTACTTCTTAGGGTGTTTTATTTCAGAGTATAATATTGTGTTTCCTAAAATTTCATTCTTAAAATATTATTACCATGGACATGTTTGGTTATGTTTGGTTCACATATATTAATTTTAGAATTTTTTATTTAATTAAAAGGTGAAAACTAATGAAGAAATTTGAAATAATAAATGGAAAGAGATAGTTATTAAAGAAAGTAACTTCCATTATATGATATTCATTTTTCACCATGAGAATGAGAAGTATGTCAAATACAAAAGGTTTAACATTCTTGAGAATAAGATATATTTAAGCTTTTTTTTTTTTAATATTCTACCAACATAGGAATAGATATTCTTACCTTATTTTTTAGAATTGAAAAATATAACTTGAAAAACGTCTCTTTACTGTTTTACATAGAATTTTGAAACCTACCATTTTACTTGTATATGGTAAAAGTGGTATATAAATTAGTTGAAAACTTATAAATTATAAGTTAATAATCAAAAAATTAAAAATTTGTAAGTTAATTGATTGAATTGAAAGTATCTTATATGACTAAATGATAAACATAAAATGATATAAAAATTTATTTATTTGAGGCAAGAAAATTAAAGTAATTAATAAAAAAAAAAATTACATGGTTCATAACCTAACTTATTTTCATAGTTGAAGTAAGATATGAAAATAAGTTAATTTTTTTTAATGTAACGTACTAAATAAAATTATTTTAGTCAAAATTATTTTTTAGGCTAGTCAAATTAATATAAGTTTCTTTCATAGCTTACACTCACAGCATTCTCTCGGCGAAGAGAGCCTAGAAATTGTTGTTTTCTATTCCTCTGGCTAAGATTCCACGTTTGTAAAGCCGGTAATATGTTTTTATAGCAAACTTCAGCCTGATCAAACATCATGCCACCCAAATTTCCTAATCTTAATTGATTATAGGTAGAGTACTACCGCTGTGTGTCTTAATACGGTGGAGGAAAACGCTAAATGATTAAAAAAGTTAATGAGGGATTTTAAGAAGTTCTTTTTGAATTTATTAGAGTTGATAGATCTGCGTAATTGGAATAAAATTTCTTGGTATATAAGACATGCATAAAAGTTATGACGAGCAGAATGGATATATAGCTAGGGTTGTTTGAAAAATGGGTGGAGAAATAGCCAAGTTGCCATGCATGGAACTTGAGAATTTATAGTAAAAGAAAAATGTCTGGATTGAAGTCCTAAGCCTTTTAGGACTCTAGATTGTTGGTATTAGAAGGAGGATTTTATGTTGTGTAAAAGATAATGGACTTCCAATGAAGTAGTAGGAAGAGGAGGATTTAGTTTGAATGAAAAACTGATCGAAATGTTGATTAATTTGATAAAAAAAAAAAAAAAATAGGATTACGTATACTGAATTAATTCTGTAAGTCATTCTATTACATCAGATTCAATCCCTCGTACCGACTATTTCTATTTAACATCCGCTCTTTTATAATGTTTTAACTTAGTAATAAGTATTTTAGAGTAAAATGCCATGAAAAGAGGATTTTGAAAAAGAAAAAAAATAGGGTTGATGTTTTAATTA